TCATGTATAACTCTCTTATACTCCTCCTTGTCCTGCACCTCAGCTTCACTCTTTGCTGAAGCCCAGGCCAGAGCTCTGTCTTGTCTGGATTTTTCAGGAAGTGTTTCACAGAGTGAAACCTTGGAGCTATTGTATGTAAAACCCCGACAAAGACATCTTAATAGTTCCCAGTCTGTTTCAAGGAGCACATACCATATATCTATTAATGGAGATTCTCTCTATCCTAATAAGAAGGAAAGGATGGAAGATGACAAAATATGGGTAGGATCTGATGGGAAACAGTCAAATGAAAAAGAGTTCCATTCAATCATACCACGTAATGGCATATATATATATAGATAGATATAGATATAGATATAGACATATATATATAGATATTCACAACTTCTCATCAACTGTTGGGAGTGGGCCACATCCACCCTGATTGAATTAGCACTGGTCCTCCAAATAGTAATGTAACACACCCATCTTTGCACATGTATATATACCTGACAATCTGAAGCTTCCATTTCATGCCTCTAAGGAAGTGGGCTCCAGCCCACGAAAGCTTATGCCCAAATAAATGTGATAGTCTTTAATGTGCCACAGGACTCCTCGTCGTTTTGCAGATTTTCTGGTGTCTCAAACAGACCGTCACTTCTTCTTGGTTAAACCTGCATTCTTTGTAACTGAGAACAGTACAGAATCCATTTTCCTGAACTTTCTGAATGATTCTGCTTTTCACAATATCAGCAGTAATTTCTAAAAGCTCATTTTGAGTTGAGCAGCTTGTGAGATTGAAAGGATCACTTAGGGTTTCCTGGGGTTTTATTGATTGATTTATTTATTTTTGCAATTATTTCATCATACAGTGAAAACAAATTGCTTAATTCCAGAAAGTTTCCCCCTTTTGCTAATTTTTCTCTTGCATCCTGCCCCTGCAGTGCAATTCCTTGCTTAGCCAGCTCAAGAAGTACACCGGTGATTCTTGCAGCATAGTCCTCTTTTTATGTAACAGCATCTTGTGAGAATTTGATAATTGTGCCACTATAGAGCCCACTTCCTTTGACTGTTTGAAAAAAATGCCACCTTTCAGAACACTGCTTGTGTGTGGGAGATTGTATATGTTTCTAAAGCTTTTTTCTTATATTTTTCCAATGTCTAATTCCATTTTTTGCCACATGGAAAGTCTCTCAAACCACTGGAAAACTGTCTGCAAGGAAAGCAGAAAACTGCTTCTGCCTGCTTACTGTACTCAAAAAATGAAAATGTCTTGTAATATTCCAATGTCAATGTGAAAGACCGAGACCCAACTTTGCTGATTCTAGTGTCCCTCATTCACTTTCCCTCCTTCTCTGGCCATCGCACCACTTAATTGCCTATGGCATTTATATGCCTTTGCTCTTTGGTTGATGTCTGGTTCCTACCCTTGGCCCAGCTGTGGGACTCCTCTTGCTGCTGAGCCTGCTGATGCTGGAGTAACTCAGCTAAGGGAGCTGGAACCCAGTGTAAGTAATTGTTACCTAAGGGGGCTAACAGTTTGTGCATATCTCTCTTTCTGTGACAAAGAGGGCAAAAACTAATTACCTTCTTTAAAATTGTATACAGCGTTAGGTGGATTTTTCTGGGGTTTAGACATCATTGGGGCTGGGTGCCTGAGAGCTGGAGACAGGTACCTTCCTGGGCTGTTTTCAGTTTAGGGCTGCAGTTTGGGGGCGAGGCCCAGATGGTGGGTCTGTGTCATAGCAGGCTAGTGTGTCTGTCTCAAGAAGACAGGGTTCTGGGGGCCCAGGCTGCCAGGAAAAATGGGCTCAGTGATAATTTTAGCACATCAAGTGACAGTCCCAATGGGGGCTCTGTGACTGAACCCATCACAGCCTCCTTCTGGGGTAAGGCAGCATGAAGGGTGTTTGATCACTTCCAAGGCACCTTCTGATGGCTGCATGTAAGAAGATATTTCTCCTTTTTGGGGGGCAGCAATTGCCTCTTCCTGGGGTATGGCACAATCTCCAAGGGCCAGCTCAGTCCAAGGTCTCTCTCATGCTGTGGTAGTCCAAACAGCAAATAAAGGGGATCAGTCAAGCCCAGTGTACGTATGAGAGATGAATGCTTCCCTCTCAGGATGTCCCTGCAGTTGGCCCTCCCTTTGCACAGGGAGGGACCTCTGGGCAGCTGTTCAGGGGGAGATTCTGCCTTCCCTCAGCTCATCCCCTCTGGAGCTCTCAGTAGCAGGTCGGCTCTCCTCCCTGGTCTGCTCCCCTGCCTTTTTGCTTTTCTCAAGCACTTCTCTTCAGACTTGATTTGTCTGCCCCGTTTTCTGATAATTTACTGGCTGAATGTTTGGCTTCTTTGAACTCAATTTGAAATGTAGCTACAAGTTCAGTGGCTTTGGGAAGTAATCCTGCTGCTTTGGAAAGGTCGGTGTCTTTGCATTGTAGCAGTTTTGAAACAGAATTTACCATTTCCAGAATCTTTCTTTGGAGCACAATGAGAAAAAGAAAACTAAAATTGTCCTTAATTTCTTTAATGTTAAAGGCTCATAAGTTTCAATGGCATATTTCTATGGGTGCCTCAATTGTGTCAAGAAACTGAAATTGGAGGCTATGTCTACACAGCTCACCTTACAGGCAAACCAACCCGAATGAGGAGTGGAAGCTTTTTCTGTCTACACTGGCATATTTTAGTTCTGAAACTTTTGTCGCTCAGGGTTTTCATTTTACACCGCATAGGGACAAATGGTTTAGCGCTGAAAGCAGCAGTGTAGACATAGCCTGTGAAAAAGGAGTTATTCATACTGGTGGGTGATCACAAGTGTAGTCAATTCCTTGACCCAGCTTTCATTTCTTATGATGTTCAAAAGGGCAAATACACAATGCCAGGTTTACTGCTCTAACCCCATACTAAAATAAAAGGAGTACTTGTGGCACCTTAGAGACTAACCAATTTATTTGAGCATGAGCTTTCGTGAGCTACAGCTCACTTCTCACGAAAGCTCATGCTCAAATAAATTGGTTAGTCTCTAAGGTGCCACAAGTACTCCTTTTCTTTTTGCGAATACAGACTAACACGGCTGTTCCTCTGAAACCATACTAAAATAGTACAGTAAAAAGGGTTTATATGATACCAGTCTTTGGGAAGCCATATCATGCAGTGATGTTAAATTCACCTTACATAGAAAGTGTGTTCCCCAAAGTAACATTCCCACTCCCGTTACCCAGAAGGCTGCCTGACCTCAAGGAATCACCTTCCACTCTCCAGGCTGGCAAAGTCCTCATAATGGGGACACGGCTGGGCCCAGTTGTAACAGTGGTGCGCGTGGGAGCCAGCTGAGGTCACTCAAACAGGGTGAACTGCACACAGGATGGGGAGGACAAACCCAAAAGCTGGTGGCTATTCCAATATTTAGATTTACCAAGCCAGCACAAAATAGCTTCCGTATTCCACTGGTTACTTAGAAGTCCAAACAACACAATTATCTTAAGGCACCCAGCCTCAGTCCTCCATCCAGGCACACCTGTCAACTGGATGATGATAATTTCTGAAAATCTTTTCTCATCATATGACAGAAAAGGTTCTCCCAATCCCGAAAGGATCGGCCACACACCCAAGTCAAATTATAACTTAGATCTTACCCAAAATACACACTTAGAGCCAATTCTTATTAATTAAACGACAATTTATTAACAAAGAAAAAAGAGAGAATGTTGGTTGAAAGATCAATATACATACAGACTTGAGTTCAATTCTTGAGGTCCAGATACATGGCAGAGATGATGAGTTTGTAGCTGCCAAAAATTCTTTTAGAAATAGTCCACAGGTTATAGTCCAATGTCCATATTCAGGGTGACTCCAGCCAGTGACTGGGGATCTCAAATCTGTCCCCCTCTTGAAACCCAAAGCAGATCTGAGATAAAGAAGGATCGTGTTGCAGGGTCTTTATACATTTCCAGCAGCCTCTTTGCCCAAGAGAACAATAGGCTTAACTTTCTGTCTCCCAAACATCATGGCAATTAGCACAGGGTAATTTATCCATTCAACAGTTTATATATAGGTTACCACAACCTTCAAAGAGACATATCAACAATAATAATGTTTCACTAAAGTGTCATCATAAATGTTAACATTACTGTTTTGATCTTTGAATCAAAGCTATAGTAATAGTCGAGACGTTTACATCACAAGACCTGAGCAAACATCTACCCTTCTATCTCTAACTTGCATTTCAAAGTTCTAATCTAACCGAGTGCAATCACCCAACTATCATCTACATCTCTTCTTCGCATGTCTTTAAAGTTCGACCATGGGTCATGTCAGTCTATCAGTTAAGTAACTCTTTCTGGCCCTGTATCACCTTTCATTGAGATATTATATTATACCCATATAATGTCACACCAGGATTCCTGGGAGGCTGAACCCCCAGTCTCATCATGGTCACTTAGGACAGGGCCTACGGTGTTCCCTGCTCCAGGGTACTGTATTCACTGGATGCTTCCCTGACCCACTGATCACGACATTAAATTCTAACAAAATATAGTTTATTAAACAGCAACTATAAGGAAAATAAGGAAAAACAGGAAAGGTTCAAGGAAACAAGAAACTTACTCCATGGGCACAGGGACAACACAGACAGCTGTCCCTGGGACATAAGGAAAGTTCACTGTCAGCTCCTCCTGCCCAGTTCGTGGCTGCACTGCAGTGATACCATGGGTCAGACACTTAGTCTGGCAGTGGTCACACCCTCAGGGTCTTGGTTGCAGGACCCTTCTCCCGGGCATCTGACCTCTCAGCAAATTCACATTCCACTTTCTGAGATCAGGTGATGGTCAGAGAGGGGGAACTCAGCAATGGGGAGAGCAGTGTTTGGTGATAGAGTGAGAAGACATTAGGTGTGAGGAATTTCTCACACTGTGCGCTTGCATAATGCTGAGCTCAGCCAAACTGGGACAAGGCACCCTTGATTAATGAGGAAATCTCCTTTCCCCTCTTGTCACACAGGTTTCAAAGCAGTGGCCCCACAGCAATTAACTTCTGCAGGTGTATTTGCCAACTTTGTTACGAAGCTCTTTGGTTTTGGCACCATAAATGATAGGGTTGAGCATGGGAGGAACAAGAAGATAGAGGTTGCTCAAGATGATGTGAATGTGGGGAGCAATGCCCTGACCAAAACGGTGTGTCAGGTTTGAGAAGAGGGAGGGAGTATAATACATCAGCATCACAAAGATGTGGGCTGTGCAAGTGTTGAGGGCTTTTTCATGGGCTTTCTTCGAGGAGATTCTGAAGACGGCCCTGATGATTAGACCATAGGAGAGCACAATGAGTGGCAGGTCTAACACCATGACTAGAAACATTAACACCAAGCCATACATCCTGTTGACTGTGATGTCCCCACACGAAATCTTCGCCACAGCTATGTGCTCGCAGAACGTGGTGGGAATAATGCGGTTGGCACAGAATGGCAGCTTTCTCAGGAGCAGGGGCATGGGCAGAGAGAAGAGAACAGCTCTTACCAAACCGACTAGCCCGAGCTTAGTTATTCTTGCATTGGTGAGGAAAATGGTGTATCTCAGAGGGTTACATATGGCAACGTAGCGATCGATGGCCATTGTCACAAGGATAGCTGAGTGCATAATAGAAAACATGTGAAGAAAGAACATCTGGGTGAGGCAGCCACCCACAGTAATGACTTTCAAATTGAACCAAAATATACACAGTGCCTTTGGCACGATGGCGGTAGACGTGGCAATGTCTGTGAGCGCCAGCATGCAGAGCAGCAGGTACATTGGCTTGTGCAGTGTCTGCTCTTTGCCTACCACAAACAGAAGTGTGAAATTTCCCAGCAGGCCAATAATGTAGGATATAGAGAAAGGGATTGAAATCCATTCATGGGCAGTTTCCAGGCCAGAGATGCCTGTTAGGATGAAAATTGAAGGGTCAGAGGGGGTGAGGTTCATATCTGCCATGAGTTGCTTGATAGGTCTAATGGGCTCAGAAATACACAAGGCGCCTGTGAAGAGAGAGAAGTATAGAGTGGTGGGTTACATGCTTTATAGGAACTAGAACAGTAAATATACTATACTTATTACATATATAGAAAGCCAATCAAGCCAGAGAATGGGCAGCAGGATGGAAGATGAACTTTGATGTCAATAACTGCAACGTGTATACCTATTGGAGGAAAAAACTTGAATGCCTCAAACACGTAACAATGTTCTAATTTAACTGTGTGAACTCAGGACAGGGATCTGGGTGTCACAATACACTGCTCTGTGAAACTCTGCTCACAGTGCAGGCATGGAGAGAAATTGAGGAAAGCATTGGATTCCTGCAGGAATGGGGTAGGGAATCCTACAGGAAATACGATGCCCTGAAAATAGTCAGTCAATGTTTCACCCTCCTCTAGACTCCTCAGTGTAATATTGGGCACCCTTTTCACACAGGATATTGCAGATCTGGAGGGGTTCATGCAATGGCAACAAGAATGATCAATGATCCGGTGAAAATGTCATGCACAGAGTGACTGAAAAGAGTGGGATTGTTACCTTAGAAAGGAGATGAGCAGCAGGGGACATGAGAAAATCTTGATAATACTGACTGGTAGAAAGGTAGTACAGTCCATGAGATAAACAAGAGACAGGAAGGGTTTGGACATTTACATGAAAAGTGAGATTATCTAGTCACAATAGTTACAGCTAAATAAATACTTCGGAAAATCCATATGTCCACGTATTCCAGGGCTCAAGCCAATCTCTACTGTTATTCCTTAGGGTGAGACCCTCATCACAATCAAGTCACACATCTATTGATGGGTTTCTTACACCTTTTTCTGCAGCACCTGGACAAGTGTGATACGTGATGCATTCCCTATGTTGGAAAGGAACCAAGTTTCTCCCATGGAAACAGACATGGTCATGCTAAACTATGACTTTGTGCTCAACAGAATGGGCATGAAGGGCAAAAGGTTCTTTGTATTTCAGGCTGCACCTCTGTTACTTCCACTGTTTCTTCTTATGAGACACTGTCTTGCAGGCACGCAGCTTATAATTTTCTGAATATGATTATCATATTTGTATGCATGTACCATTTTTGTATCTGAAGTTATGAACGCTGACTATGTATCTGTATTGCAAATGCCATTCTGTGCCAACCGCATTATCCCCACCATGTTCTGCGAGTACATAGATGTGGCAAAGATTTCATGTGGGGACATCACAGTCAACAAGACTTATGGCTTGGTGATAATGTTTCTAGTCATGCTGTATATGATCTACAGCTCGCCCGCCCTTAGAGGCCATTGGGCCGCTCCAGTTGAAGTTACTGGAGCCTCATGATGGGAGTAAATCAGGCCATTTAATTCCGTCCCTACATGCTGATTTAGGGTGAACTACTGGACGTGTGGGACCAGTTTCACCCTTAGTGTTTAACTTTCAGCTCCCACCTGTAAAAATCGTGGCTTCAGATCCTGCTACAGAGAGCAATGAGTCTGAAGGAAAGACCTAGTTTATGTCACGTTCTGAGACTGGGTATGAAAGTTGGGGATTCCAGAACACATGAGCCCTGATTTTGTTATTTGCAGTGGCCACTGAGGACAGAATGTGAGGGCAGAATCTGACCACTGTGCAACCCATTCTTGTTGTGAACCCTCTGGTAACACAGACACCCACTGCAGAGGCTTTGGCTGCACTTCCTTACAGTGCAATGATATTACTGAATTTCAAAACTTGAGTGAACCAGAGGGAAAACGACACAGCTCCAAAAAGGAGGCTACAGAGACAGATAAAAGGACACAGGAAGAGACAAGGAACTGATCTGAAAAATAAATATTTCCAATACATTTGTAATTCCAAAGTTACCAGGTAAATCCCTTTCTGTTTCTGACAATTCATATCTCTGTGCTGGTGAATTCTTGCCCAAACAGTTCTTGACTTCAACCCTGGAACCCTTCCTGAGCCCTCAGCACTAACTTTAATGCAGAAACAAGCAACTCACCAAAATCCCGCTCAGCAGAGAGAGGAAATCTCCTTACAGCGACATGAAGGCAGAGCCCTGAGAATCAGTGTATGAATCTCAAATATCTGAGACTCAGCATGCTGGACAATGACCTTTATGATTCACCTGAACAGATCCTGTGGATTCTCAGGTTGGCCAGAACTCACTTACAACTCCCTCAGCTCCCTGAGCAGAGAGTGGGAAGAGAAGAAAATAGACGCTGGAAAACTTCAGCTTGAGAGCCTCCCCTGGGAGTGAAATGATTTGCCAATTCCCAGGGCTCAGATTCTCAGGGGAAACAGTCTTGCAGACCGTTCAGCATAACAACTGATGATTGTTTTCTTTTCTGTGTGTAATGTACTGACATCTGCGCTATGCGTGGAAATGCTGCCACAACATAGAAGACCAAAAATCATTTTCAGCTGATCACAGCAGAGTATCAGTGCATACCATCAAGGCAGTGGTAATATCCATTCCATTAGACTCTGAAATTCACTGCCACCCTGTGGAAGCCAAAAGATGTGATCCTGAACTGATGCAAGCCAAACGGCGTGGAAAAGGCTTTCTTCTCCTAGGATTATGGCATCAAAGTTACTTGCCAGTATCCCTTTGTGAGGTCTAAAGCGGATATATCTGGCAGCTCCCAGCTGTTCTAATAGTTCATTTACTCTCTGCGTCGAATAAGCATAAAATTTCATTAGTGTGTTGATCTTTCAGAAATCCATGCAGGAATGGGTTGTGCTAACCTGTGTCAGAAGTAGCACCAGGGGACTTCTCCACTCACTGTAGAGACTAACAAATGTATTTCAGCATAAGCTTTCGTGAGCTACAGCTCACTTCATCGGATGCATTCAGTGGAAAATGCAGTGGGGAGATTTATATACACAGAGAACATGGAACAATGGGTGTTACCAGACACACTGTAACGAGAGCGATCACTTAAGATGTGCTAATACCAGCACGAGAGCGCCGGGAGGGGGGTGGGAGGGAACCTTTTGTAGTGATAATCAAGGTGGGCCATTCCCAGCTGTTGACAAGAACGTCTGAGGAACGGGCGAGGGGGGGGGGATAAACATGGGGAAATAGTTTTACTTTGTGTAATGACACATCCACTCCCAGTCTCTATTCAAGCCTAAGTTAATTGTCTCCAGTTTGCAAATTAATTCCAATTCAGCAGTCTCTCGTTGGAGTCTGTTTTTGAAGTCTTTTTGTTGTAATATTGCGACTTTTAGGTCTGTAATCGAGTGAGCAAAGAGATTGAAGTGTTCTCCGACTGGTTTATGAATGTTATAATTCTTGACATCTGATTTGTGTCCATTTATTCTTTTACGTAGAGACTGTCCAGTTTGACCAATGTACATGGCAGAGGGGCATTGCTGGCACATGATGGCATATATCACATTGGTAGATGTGCTGGTGAACAAGCCTCTGATAGTGTGGCTGATGTGATTATGCCCTGTGATGGTGTCCCCTGAATAGATATGTGGGCACAGTTGGCAACAGGCTTTGTTGCAAGGATAGGTTCCTGGGTTAGTGGTTCTGTTGTGTGGTATGTGGTTGCTGGTGATTATTTGCTTCAGGTTGGGGGGCTGTCTGTAAGCGAGGACTGGACTGTCTCCCAAGATCTGTGAGAGTGATGGGTTGTCCTTCAGGATAGGTTGTAGATCCTTGATGATGCATTGGGGAGGTTTTAGTTGGGGGCTGCAGGTGATGGCTAGTGGCATTCTGTTATTTTCTTTGTTGGGCCTGTCTTGTAGTAGGTGACTTCTGGGTACTCTTCTGGCTCTGTCAATTTGTTTCTTCACTTCAGCAGGTGGGTATTGTAGTTTTAGGAATGCTTGATAGAGATCTTGTAGGTGTTTGTCTCTGTCTGAGAGGTTGGAGCAAATAAGGTTGTATCGTAGAGCTTGGCTGTAGACAATGGATCGTGAGGTGTGGTCTGGATGAAAGCTGGAGGCATGTAGGTAGGAATAGCGGTTAGCAGGTTTCCAGTATAGGGTGGTGTTTATGTGACCATCGCTTACTAGCACTGTAGTGTCCAGGAAGTGGATCTCTCGTGTGGACTGGTCCAGGCTGAGGTTGATGGTGGGATGGAAATTGTTGAAATCATGGTGGAATTCCTCAAGGGCTTCTTTTCCATGGGTCCAGATGATGAAGATGACACAAGAGATCCACTTCCAGGACACTACGGTGCTAATAAGCCATGGTCACATAAACACCATCCTATTCCAGAAACCTACTGACCGCTATTCCTACCTACATGCCTTCCTTGTTCCTGCCAGGATGTTCCCTCCTCCGCAGAGCCCGGGGTCTCAGTACTGACTGGGCCGGGAGCAGACAACAGGCAAGTGGAGAGGAGGCTGCTGGACTGTAATCCTGTTGTATGTTCTTTAGAGAATAAAGCATGTTCCTGGTGGTTTATCTGAGTGGGTCTGCTCTGAGGTGAACACACTGACACACAATGCAGAGCTCATCTAGTCCAACCCCCTGCTCAAACCAGGACCCATCCCCAATTTTTGCCCCAGATCCCTAAATGGCCCCGTCAAGGATTGAACTCACAGCCCTGGGTTTAGCAGGCCAATGCTCAAAGCACTGAGCTATCCCTCCCTGCAATGCATCTCAAACAACCCCATACTGGGCCAGTGAATGGGGTGGCGGGGAGGCGACACACTGCACAGGGATCTGTACAATGTATGCTCATTAATAGAGCTTGCCATCCCCTCGATGTGGGAAGAATATGCCACTCACCAGTAGTAACTAATCTGAGTTGGTCGCCAGACACTTCTCTCAAAGGATGACTGATTTAGATAAAGCAAAAACAAGTTTAAATACAGAAAGAGAGATTTTAAGTAACGATAATTGATAGCAAACAGATCAAAGCAGACTACCTAGCAAATAAACCAAACCGCAAACTAGGCCTAAAATACTACCTATATTGAATATGAATTAACAATTTCTCACCCTGGCTGTTGAT